AGTGCTTACTGTAACATTGTATGAATCTATGATAGATATGCGCAGTTGTCAACATTAAGTCTATCTTGTGTATCTTTTTCATAAAAATAAAAAAGTAATAACATTAGAATACAAATATTTGTGTCAGTACAAAAGGATGGGCAAGGCTAATCAAAGTTCTGATACAGAAAGAAGGGTGTAAAAAAGGACGACTGAACTGTTGTAAGCAGAGTTTCTGAGCTCTCTCAAATGCTTGTACTATATTATTAATCTTCAGGGAACATAAACGTCTCCAATATTCCAAATTTAAATATTTTCCACCCAATGCATGACCAGGGGGCCAAGACTCGTACATTAGTAATGTGTTTTCACCATGTTCAAATGACACTATTTCACAGATCTAATATACTGATGCATATGCAATGTGTTTTGACTGCTTGTGTGTGTGTGTGTTTGACATGACCTTGTGTGTAAGAAACAGCTCAGCCAATATGCTGTCTGACAGCTAGCTTCACAGATCAATCCTGTCTTGTAGATAAAATTGCCCATATATAGATATCTGATATACGGCAATATATGTTAATTTCCTATGTGACCTTCAAGTTCATGTTTAGATTGTACAAATGTGTGTAATACACTCACCGGCCACTTTATTGGGTACACTTGTCCAACTGCTTGTTAACGCAAAATTCTATTTAGCCAATAACATTGCAGCCACTCAATGCATTTAGGCATGTAGACATGGTCAAGGAGATCTGCTCCAGTTTAAACTGAGCATCAGAATGGGGAAGAAAGGTGATTTAACTTTGAAGGTGGCTCACCAAAATTGGACGATAGAAGATTGGATAAAAGTTGCCTGATCTGATGAGTCTTGGTTTCTGCTGCAACATTCAGATGGCAGGATCAGAATTTGGCGTCAAAAACATGAACGCATAGATCCATCCTGCCTTTGGAGTGCAGTGGTTCAGGCTGGTGGTGATGTAATGGTATGGGGGATATTGTCTTGGCACACTTTAGGCCCATTAGTACCAATTGAGCATCGTGTCAACACCACAGCCTACCTGAGTATTGTTGCTGACCATGTCAATCCCTTTATGACCACAGTGTACCCATCTTTTGATGGCTACTTCCATCAAGATAACCCGCCATGTCATAAAGCAAGAATTGTCCCAGACTGGTTTCTAAAACATGACAATAAGTTTACTGTACTCTAATGGCCTCCACAGTCACAAGACCTTAATTCAATCAGCAACTTTGAGATATGATGGAATGGGAGATTCGCATTATAAATGCGCAGCCGACAAATATGCAGCAACTGTGTAATGCTATCATGACAATATAGACCAAAATCTCTGAGAAATAGTTCCAGTACCTTGTTAAATCTATGACATGATGGGTTAAGGCAGTTCTGAAGACAAAAGTGGGTGCAACCTGGTACTAGTAGGTTGTACCTAATAAAGTGGCCAGTGAGTGTATATGCAATTTACTAACGTCAACATTTAAAGTGATTAAAAAAGTTTTTTTTTTTTCAAAATAGTCCTAAAACTTAAATTGGTGTTGTTGAATAGTTTTAACTTTGACGAAAGGTTGTGATCCACTTCACATGGTGACTACTGTATTTTTTTTTAATATGTGCATACGTTCAAATATTGTAATTAGCTATAATTTCATACACAGATTAATATATGGCATTCAGATTTGCCATCTTACAGTACATCATTTCTATCACCAAATGTCATCTCATGTCACCTTTAAAACCTCTCTTTAAACACTTTCTTAATAAAGTAATTTGAACTTCCAGCAAACAAATAACAGTCTCAAAATTCTCAATAGATTCTAAACATGGTGCTCAAACCTCTGTCCTCATTTAGCAGAATGGTTATAAAAGCTCCTCTGCTTCTTTTCACCTACTTAATGGGCTCTGTAGGGTCAGCTCTCTTGGCTCGCTTTTCAGCTGATAGTTGCTCCCATTTAAAGTGTAAACTCCAGTCGAATCCTGCGGCAAGAGATGAAGTGAGGGAAAGCAGAAAGAAAGAGAGAGACAGATCAATGAAGATCCTTTTGCTCTATTTTCTTGTGCCTTAAATTTTTAGGAGTCATAATTATACACTGCGGCAGCGGTGATAATTAAAGTGAACTGCAGATGATAGGTTGGGCCTTTCATTGCAGCTAATTGTTAGATTTGTTTCTGGATGACACCGCTGATTGGGGGCTGTGACCGGCAGCCCTTAATGTCAATGGTGGAACAGTGAATGAGGAATTATAATTGCTGCTTTTACCTCCTCGCAAGTCTGAGGAAGCAGCGACGTAGGCAAACGTGTCCATATTAATGATGTCAATCACGGGGCTGGCGACAGAGGTCGGGTCCTGAAAAATGAAAACATTTCCAAATGAGACAAAAGAGTGCATGAGATTTGATAGAGAATGTGGACTCACTGTCTGTTCAGCTTGATTTCACAACAAAAGAGGTGGAAAATCGGCGAGCGCAGGGATTATCTGTGTTAAGAGTGAGAGAACGTGCGCTCACACACACACACACACACTCGTCCAACATCATTACACCAGACGCTCTGACCTCATCGCTCAACCCTCTCATGCCTCACAATGCCGCCTCGCTAAAATAAAAGAGCACTTGATATGTGTCAGCAGTACTAGCTTTTCAAACTTCACCAAATTGCTTGTGATATGGATTTTAAAAGGAGAGCCATTGTTCTGAAACTAAGTTGTCCCTTCTGAGTTAACATCTGATTTCAGAGTACACATTTGGATTACATGTTAAAGTCACAATGAAATTTAAACCAACAATTCTTATAGATCAAACTTTATTCAAAGATGCAAGTCACACTGTTAAAGGGATAGTTCACCCAAAAATGAAAACCCTGTCATTGTCACGATCACCAGCAATTTAGCCCTTGTAGATCGCTGGAAACACTACTGTACTACATTTCCCATCAGGCACCTCACTCACGCACCAGTTCTGGGTCACCCCTGATTATGTACACACAGCTTGAAGCTCATCATGGACTTATATCCTGAACTATTTATACACTACATTTGCGCACACACAGTGCTAAATCTTTTTATCCTGTAGCATTTCAAAGTGTTTAATTGTCTAGCCTTGCCTTACTTCTCGTTTATGTTGTTTTGCCACTTGTATTGACCATTGCCTACCTGATTCTGAGTTACTATTCTGCATTTGGATCATCAATTCTATTGTACCCCAACTCACATATTACAGTCATCATTTACTCACCCTTTACTTGTTACAAAAATGTAATTGTGTCTTTCTTCTGTTGAACACAAAAGAAGATATTCGGAAAAATGTTGGAAAACTGTAACCATTGACTTCCATGATAATTGTTTTTCCTACTATGGAAGTCAATGGTTACAGGTTTACAACATTTATTTTATGTGCAACAGAAGAAAGAATCTAATAAAGGTTTGGAAGCACTTGAGAGTGAGTAAATAGTGAGAAATGTTTAATTTTTGGGTGAATTTTTTAGCCCAATCAAGTGCTAAATTGCTTATTAATCATTAGTAAGGTTGTATTTGGGTTTACATATTGGATACTATTACTAATGTAGAATAAATAAATACTTTACAACTATTAATAAACAGCCAATATCTTAGTAAGCAGATAATGATCAAGTAGTTAATGGTGGGAATTGGTACATAAACTAAAGCCTTACGTCTTAATTTATGGAATATTGCAGTATTTATTACAAAGATATTAAAAAACACATGATATGTAAAAATCCGGAAAATTTCAACAAATAAGGCAGGCAGGAGAGTAGTGATAGAATGCTGGTGTAGTTCTGGTTAAATTAAAACTGATTTGATTCAGGTTTATTACAAATGTCTCTGTTAAAGATCCAAAAATCAAAGTCATCTATTCTCTTCTCTGTTTTCTGTTCAGAAGGATGAGGACAAGACATTCATCCAACCATATGAGACATTGACAAAAGAAAAATGATTTAAAAAATGAGTAAAAATTAAAAAATTCGGTCAATTTTCATAGAAGAACATAATAATAGTAATAATAATAATAATAATAATAATAATAATAATAACAACAACAAAAAAAATAAATGTTTAGCCCTTTAAAAAGTTGCTTTCTTAAAGTGCCGTACAAGCAAGCAACACAATAGTGAAAAAAACACATGTGAATAAAACAAATCCATGTCAAACAACGCATTAAAATTACAATATATAAAAGCAATGCAAGACCATGTGAAATGAATAGTCAGAATCCTAAAAGAAAATATTTTCAAAAAAATTTAAGGGTCCCTATAAAATTTGCTTTCCTGGTGTCTCCTGGGAGAGACTTCCACAACTTTGGAGTATAAAAGGAAAATACTCTGACAACCCTAGAGTGAAGCGGTGTCTTGGAAAAAACTAAAAGACCACTCAATGCAGATTATATGACATGGTGTCGTAAAGTCCCAGCGCAGATATTTTCTTGATCTTGTTTCTTGTTTTACTCAGATTTGATGTACATTTGTGGTCAAAATTGATGTCCAGTCTAAAAAATTGATAGTGCCACCCTTTAATCAAACATACTGATTTCATTCATAATGTACTATAATCTTTAATGTGACAAGCGACAACATATGTTTGTGATGTAACATAACTAAAATGTTTTGGCTTGTTCATTAACAAATTGTGTCTGAACAACAGGTGTCAGCTAAATGCTGATTTGTTGTGAAAAAAATCATAATTTCATGGTTGTGAAATGAACTGTAAACAAAGTAAATAAAAAGTTGAACATCACTGCTGGTGTATTGAATGTTTAACACATTGACAGCATTAGTTTTGTGGAAGTCTGCTGGTCAAAAGTCAAATAGCAGTGCTGCTAACATTTAAGCAGAACAAAGTGGCGTTATTTTGTTGTGCTTGACAAGAAATGTTACATTTACTAACCGCTGACCCTTCTCCACAGAAAACGAATTGAAAGAGGACACTAAAAGATGGAAAAAATAGCATATCATGCAGGCAGAATTTCTTAGCAGACTTTGAACACAACAAAACTGAATATAAAATGGTACCTCTTTGACCCTCTGCAGCAGTGGAGGCAGCCAATCTTTGTTGACCTCACAGTGACTGTCCAAAAAAGTCAGGATCTGGGCTCCTGCAGCGTCAGCCCCTCGAACACGAGAGCGGATCAATCCTGAAAAAACACACACACAAACAAATATTGACACACAGACAGACACATAAGCTATAAAATTCTTTCAAATTCCCAGTATTTTTTAGGCGTAGGTTTGATTCAAATGTTAGTATCTGTTTTATTTAATACAGATCTGATAACATTTTTTCCAAATTCAAAATAAAGTCTTTTGGTTTCCTTTTTTTTTTTTTTTTTTTTTTTTTTACAAAAAATAACATTTGATCAGAATCAGAAATGTTTTCTTTTCCTGTAACCTAAAATCTGGGTTATTTCACAAAATTAAAATTTCTAAACTAATCTGAAGTTATTACATTAGAATTGTGCTGTGCAAAAATGAATATACACACATAGTAAAACATGGATACTTTTAGTTTTTTCATGTAAAAATATAAATATCTCTAAATGACATTCTCATTTTTAATTTGTGAAAAGTCAATATTTTACATTTTAAAGAATTTTACAAAATATTTTCTGCAATAAATATATGGCCATTTATATACTGTATAAAAAATAAAGTACGTAGCCTCTGCTTTTGACCACAAAAAAGCATTTTTTCTATCTGTATGTGCTCATGTTAGATTCCCCTTTAAATGCTGATAATCAAAAGCACAACATTTTGACTAATACATAGAAAAAGGCATTTTCAAGATAAAAAATATGAAAATAATAATTTTTTTATGATAAAAGTTTATTTTTTAGATGAGATCTGATCTACACTGATCGCATCAGGGAGACACAAAGGTCCCGGAACTCATTCTGGACATAAACTATAGCAGTGGTCCCCAACCATTTTATCATCACAGACCAGTCAATGCTTGACAAATTTACGTAGATTGCTAGGTGACCACCGTTTTCTCAGAGGATGACAAGCAGACAAAACCTTGCTGCAACTCTGAAATTGTATTTATAGAGAAAATTTAAAGCACTTCAGTGTTTGAGTGTTCTGTGTTTGTCTGAAACAAATAGTCTACCGAAATGTGTATATCACATACAAAAGTATGAAGCTGATCAGTCAGTTATTGTCACGTGACTCTCTGTACTCTTGCAAGATTCTGAAAAGCTGAGAAGTTTTCAACTAGGCCTGCCTGGAAGGCTTAAATGTATGAGCGCGTCGCTCCCAATATGCATGCACAAGCTGCACGCCTCCATCGGAAATAACTAACTTGCATGTGGAAAAGACGCGATATGTGAACACCCCAATCCACCACCATCATTTGCGATCTATAACAGTTGATCTTTTTCTTGAACAGACATGCTCGATTCACCTTACTTGTTGACAAATGTGTTGCAGAGCCTTTTCCTCTTTCCATGAAACTTTTCCAAAGATGTCTGTTTCTTTCTAATTTTGCTAGCTTGTGGGTTAAATTTTGGTGCTCAAGTGGCCAAGATGTAACCAAGAGACTATGGTCATTTTTTAATATATATATATATATATATATATATATATATATATATATATATATAATTATTATTTTTTTTTAATAAAATATTGTTCAGACTCGGATAACAAATAAAACAGAAATAATTGACGATTTCTTGTATGGCTCGGTACCAATTGATCCAGGGACAGTTACCAGTACCGGTCTGTGGCTCGGAGGTTGGGGACCACTGCACTACAGAGCTTCCCTTACCATTACAAACTCCTCAAAAGTTACCCTCTTATTGATATGATACCCTATCAATGACAGGAAAAGAGTTCACACTCAAACTGCATTTTACTAAAACACAGAACTATAAATCGTAAATCCATATAAAACTGAGAATTTACATTTCTATAGCTGTATATCAGGGGCACTTGAGAACTCACTGTCCATCAAAATCTGTTCGGAAGCCTATTAAACTGACAAACACTTTCATTCCAGTAATCTCATTCACAAAAAAAAAAATTTTATAAAAAAAAATGATACGAGAAGAGCCATTTAAATCTGATTAGCTGAAAGGACAATTAAAGCCTTATGGTTATTACCGAATCAGAGCAAGACGCTTCTTTGTGAAGTCGAAGCTGTTAAACCGGTAGAGCCTGACTGAGGACGCATAATAATTGTAAACGTGCAAGACTAGTGCAAAGTTTCACACTGCATCGCAACTTCAGCCAATTAAAAATCCCATTTCATCCTCAATAAGGCTGTATTTTCCAGATGGGTGAGCGCAGTCTCTACAGAGCTGTTGTGTTTGTGTGTGAGTGTGTGTGTGTATTGGGGCTCTGTGTATGCATTGGGCAGATGGAGAAGGAAAGAGAGAGTGAGAAAGACAGACAATGAAAGAGAGAGAGAGAGAGTAAGTGAGTGAACGGCAGAGATTACATTCACCTACAGCTAATAGAGTTAACATAGCAGAACCGCACACCCCGCTTGTAGCTCCGGGACGACAATAGGGTTTAAATGCCTTAAACCTTTTAACAATTTTCTCTTGTACAGAGTTGGCTGCACAGGGGTTTTATGCATTAATCAATGCTGTCTAAGCGACAACGTGTGACAGTGTGTAATGGAACCTCGGAGCGCTGGAATAAACAGGGAGGAGGCAGCGAGTGGATGATCATTACTAATAAGAACTTTTCAGTATAACTTTCTGCACAATATAGGTGACTGAATGATGCATTATTATTGTTATTAATATAATCATACTGTAATTGGCGGCGCTTGTTCATACTTTTGTGTAGAGAGTAAACCTCTAAGCTTGGGTTATTGAACATTTGTACATCTAGAGAAGTGACTGATTAAGTTATTTGCAGCTTATTTGGAAAAGCAGTGCTATTACTTTTCTAAGTGAATGGACTTTGCATGGCAGATGATGAAATTAGCAAATAAATCCAACAGACTAAATAAAGCAGGGACTCAAGGCTTATCAGGAGAGCAAAACATCATAGCAACAATCTGGGGACTTTTTAAGACCCTTTTAAGACCATTATGAATAGAATTTTAGACTGATACAGGGCTAAACACTAAGGATTTTTTTCTAATTGCCCAGTTACTTCGGTAAATAGTTTTTGTATTAATGGAAGATCATGTAAAAGGATGTGTTGCTTTAGTTTTCTTTATTTATTTAAATAATTTAAATACAGGGAATTTAATTAGAATTTGCTATAAAAATGTCTAACAGCTGTTGTGAATTGTATCTTTTTGCAATAAAACAACATATATAAAACAAAACAAAAAAGTTGTGAGATGTATTATTTCTTATTGGGTAGCTTTACTTTGACATAGAAAAATTAAGACCTGTTTAAAAGGATTTAAGACCTACAACACAATATTTCAGTGAATATAAGACTTTTTAAGGCCTAAGATCTTGTTTTTGAAATTTAAGACACTTTAACACTGTTTAAGTAATTTTTTCCCAACATTTAAAATAAAGCTGAAATAAACTATTAAAGAATTGTATTTTATTTATTAAAATATGTTTGTATTAGAAGTTATTATAAATGCCACCTTGGCAATAAACAGAAATAAATACAGTTTAAGTTGAGGTTAATACTGTATATAAATATGAACAAACCTAATAAAAATAAAATAAAACTATATTAAAATAAAAACAGAACTAAAAAAAAAAATCATATAAAAATACTAAAAAAAAGAAAGAATGAAAATGGCAAAAGCACAAAAAAACACTAGAGAAATAAAAAATAAAATATAAAAGATTTCCAAATTAACTAAAATAAGTTATATTTAAGGTAAGAAAAAGCTAATAATTAAAAATAATGTTTTTTTAAAAACATTTAAAAAAAACAAAATGTACAAAACATAATTATTAAAATGAAAAATAAAACTTATTCAAAATGAAATAAAGCGCAATTTGTTGCTTTTTTCAGACCAGCGCAACCTTATTTTCATGTTTTGTGTCACCTTGTTTAAATAGCAAATCCATTTGCTGTTATTATAGGACTCATGGGTGTTTCTGTGTAAGTGTTAAGGTGCATTTGTTGCCGTGTTTGCTATTTTGAGGAATTGAAATAGACTGTGCCATTGACCAACTAAAAGCTGGCATAATGTCCAGCGCAGATCGCTTTAGTTATGCACCTATGCAGGTCTTTAGAATTAAATTGTTACAAAAAAGATTATTTTTCTACATAATTATAAAAAACACTGCCTTCTTACACATGCCTTCTTAGCTGCTTCCATGACTTTTTTCAGTTTATTCAATTTAATTTGTATTTGTATAATATTATTATTAGCAGTCTTATTTATTATTTATTATATGCATATTTATATTTGCTTTAATAAAAACTAGCTTAGATTTGTCCACTTGTCGGGTTTTGGAGACGCATGCATCACCAAGTTAAAAATAAGAATTAAAATGGCTAAAAATAAGTCACACAGAAAATGTTTTAAATAATCAATTAGGACAAAGTAAAATAATTAAACAGCTCTTACAAATTATTAATGTAAACTATAATAGTCTAAAAACTCCAGTGCTCAAAACACCTTAAAAACCACACTGCAACACTCTAAACCACTCATAATATGAAAATCTAGTTATTAACGACTCAATGCATGTAGACCCAGTGACATTCAAAGCATGGCGCTAATAAACTAAATGAGAAATTTAAATCTGAATTGGACATGGAAATTTATGTAAAGCCTGACCCGCTTAATCTACCAAAAAGGTAACCAGCCATAAAGATGACTTAACCTTTCAACATCTATAATGTTGTTAAACCATGCTAATGGGATTTCATTAAACATTAAGTGGCCATTTTAACCAGAGTCAATCTCTCGGACAGCCATTCCCAACAACGGCAGACATAAAATCTGCCACAGGCAGTACAGCAGTGGCAAAATCAATATTTGCTTTAACGGTTTAAGACCAATGTTTTCAGTTAGATGCACTGCGAAATGCTCTGCTTACAAATTGATTTTGAAACGTTTATTTATTATTTTATTTTTTCCACCTGCAAGAAACTGCAGGTGGATATACTGGTTTTCATGGTCTGCATTTTTCTTTTCTTTTAAGAACTCAGTTAATCACATCAACAAATATGTATTGCGATTGAATAAGTGTGACTCCAAAATATAATTGTTTTCAGTAACAATATAATAACTGCACACAATGTTATTTCTTTATTTGTTAAGCATTAACTTTACATTAATAGACATTAGCAAACAGTTTATAAACACAAAAATTTTTATAAAAAAACAGTTTATAAAAACTAAAAAATCCTGTATTCTTGGATTACAAGCATATATATTCCAATTTTTTTAATGATTTTTATAACAAATTAAATATTGCCATATTTGCAAGCCAGTTATTTAAGAGCAATTGGTGCTTTTTAAGATCATTCAGAATCATTACGTTAATGATTATTAACCAATTTAAATGAACTTTTATGCAGCTTAATTTTCAATCATATAGTAAAAGTTAGTCTATTTGTAAATAAATGCTTTATTAACACAAATTGCTACAATTTTGTGAGCTCATCTAAAGTGAGTACTATTTAAAGTGAGGCTTTGAAAATCCTTCATAAAAGACCATTAAAACCTCGGTTAGAGGAAATGAACGACAGAATGATACAAAAATAAATGGTAACAGTTTAGTTTATCACAATTCATGCTATTAATTACTGGCTTATTACCTGCCTAATATTAAGAAACTGTTCTGTTCTAAGAAACTAACTGTTCATTAGTAGTTAATCCTGCCCAAAACTCTAACTCTAACCTAAAACCAACTTCTACCTTACTAACTATTAATAAGCAGCTAATTAGTAGTTAATTAAGCTAGCAGTGTTAGTTAATTGTTTATTAATACTGTGAATCAAGACCTAAACTAAAGTGCTAAAAAAAATTCACAAGTTTTAACATTGGGATTTGATCATACATAATTTGACTGACTGTATGCAAGAAAGTTCTCTGGCTGTATTATGGAGTCTATTATTGGCTGTATTACCCAAAACACCTTTTGTAAACCTCTAAAGTGTCCAAAAAAGTAAAATAGTCCTTTTGATCATAGTTTCATCCACAAATTAGTGCATAATTAATAGAATAAAGTCTATTTTGCATGTTCAAATATATTCAAACAACCGGAGAAGGATGGTTATCACTATTAGTTATTTCTAAAGCTATTTTTACCCCTTTCCCCTGCAGTATCTTGCCTTAAATCAATGTCTTTGCAAGCCGTTTGCAAACTAATCCGAGTTCCGTCACCCTCTACATTCAATATATCTGTTCATCCGAATGGAAAGATACAGATGACAGTACGAGTGCGTGGCGGGGGAACTGTATATGCTCTGTTTTCCACCTGTGCAACTGGTGCGTGTAGGGAATTGTGAAAGGCTGGCCAATGTGCAGTAATCTTCTTCACAGTCTGTTCACCATCGCCCTCCCAGTAACGCACCACCTGCTGTTAAAATACTCACCAGCTCATGGGCGAAAAGCAAACAGCTGCTTTTAGAGTCTGGATGCTTTTACAAGCAGGCGTGTTGCCAGCCCAAAACCAAATATTTAATTCATCGGGTGGGGGGAGAGAGAGAGAGAGAGCAAAAACCAAAGCTCTCTGTTCATATATTGTTTTATTATTATTGCTTTCACCTTTTTAAGTTTTATTATAATTCAATTATTTTTTATTATGAAAACACATATTATTTGAATTACTAATATTTTTCCCTTTTATCACTGTATTGTATGCAAGATATGCTTATTGTTATTTTCAAAATGTACTTTATTTCATACCATATTAAAAAAGTAAATTTTACTCAAGCCATTTTGTGAATATTAGTTCTCGATCTTTAACAGAGCACAACCTCAATCTTAATAGATCCACATGATATATATATTTAAAAAATTCTTGACATTCCTAATAATAAAAAAACTCAATCAAAATAGATTCTCACTTTAATAAAACTCTTGACCCTTCACCCTCTATCCTTTCTTTTCTTGTTATGTAAATTGCCATTTTGGCTTTTCCTACAACAAAAATTAGAAAAAGAGAGTGAGAAAGGTGTCATCAGTGGCCTACCTTCTCTATGTTTATTGCGAAGACACTTAACTTTGGGCAACTTGGTGAGAAGAAGGCAATCGTTTGCTGAAAGAGGAAGAAAATACAATGTAAAAAATGAAGACTTCCGCAAGTTTCATCAATGTTTTCCCAGCACAAATGAAGGTATTATTACGTTAACTTAACAAATTTAAGTTAATTCGACATAAAATTAAGTTCACAAAAAGATCTCAAGAATAGTGTTGTTTAAGCTCATTTTAAATAAGTAGTTTGAACAAGCAGCAAAAATCTTTGAGGGTAATGTAATATAGGCTGCTTATACTGTACTTGTGGTGGTGTTTAATTATAGTTTAATTACTCACGATCTTCACTGAAGTCATCCACCAATATGATTTCATGAATAAGATGCACAGGCGTCCGATTCAACACACTATAGGGAAACAGAATCAACACTGTAAAATTGTTGCAAATCTACCATACAAATCTCTTAAAAATGTACTGCATGCTATTAAACAGTTTTCTTGACATTTAAATCAGTGAAAAATCACGTTGGTACTGAAAATGAAGTAAAACATGTATAGATATTTTATGAAAAGGATTGAATTTCTTTAAAAATTACAGTATCACTTTATTTTAATGGTCACTTTAACACATTTTGCTGAATTTAAGACACTTAGTTTGGATTAGGCTTAATGTAAGTTGACATGTACTTGCATGTCTAAAAATTAAGTTTATTATATTCAGTTAAATGTTGAAGGGGCAGTATGAGCAGACAGTCTACTAATACTCAAATGAGAAGTAATTGGCATGTAGTTGCAATGCAACCTTTAGTCAACAAAATGTGCAATAGGAACCATCAAAATAAAGTGTTACCAATATTGTTGCATCCACTGTAACTGAAATAAATTGAAAAAATTTGAAAAGTAAAAGCATTAGTTAATGTTAATGTGTTAACCAACAAGAACAATCAATGATCAACACATTTATTAATAAGTATTTATTAATCTTGTCAATGTTAATGAAAACAGAAATCTTTTATTGTTATTTGTGTTAGTTAAATAACAGTGGATTAACTAATGTTAACAAGTGCAACTTTGGATTTTAATACTAAAATAGTAAACGCTGAACAATGATTAATTAATGCTGTACAAGATTGCTCATACTTAGTTCATGTTAGTAAATACATTTTAAAAAAATAACTAAAAAATGATAATTTTAAAGTGTTAAACTACTTTTCATTTGAATACTTTTTATATTAGAAACTAATTTATAAAGCACATCACAACATTACTAAATTACTAAAACTGAAATTAACTTAAAAGCAGAAAGTAAACAAATATGAACACAATTTAGTACCATTACCATTACTATTAAAATATTACTACAGTTTGTAAGGGGAAAGAACAGACCATGTACTTTAAAGAGATAACCAGCAACTGTTAACAACAGCTCCTGGCAATTTCAAATAAATAAAACATTTACAAGCAAAACAAAATCAATATCTATGGCTCCTGATGATACACTACGTCTTCTGAAGCGATACGATTGGTCTCTACAAGAAACCGAACACTCCAGACTGCAGTGTGACCATTCACAGATGTTGTGGATAAAATAAAAATAAGGTTTAAAAAGATTAAATAAGTTTTATTGTCTTGCATAGTCTGAGAATTTTACTTCATAAGACATTAATATGTCATCCTCTGGACGCATAAGTGCTGGCATGTTATGAATCACCAATGGAAATGATTTAAACAAAAAACTGTCTACTTTCTACCTACATCTTGGATGACCCATGGGTGAATAAATAAACACCATTTATTTATTTATTTATTTTTGTGAATATCCCTGTAATGTAGTTTCAAACATCCATAATTTGCTAATTATTTCTTTATGAGCACACACACTTCATACCCACATCCCTGTTTCTTACAAAAATCCCACAGATAAACATGCAGTTGTGTTTTAAAAAAAGTTATGGAGGATAAACTAGAGCAACAGGGATGTGTAGATGTCGTGCTGTGGAGCTGAAGAGCACAGGCCTTCTCTAAACCTCTTTTCTTTGTGTTCATGCTAGAAGACTGATTGCATTGCACTCAAGCTCACAGGTATGTTTTCACATGTCTGAGTCAGTCAGACACATTCATCACAGCACTGCAGATGATGCGCACAGATACAAGCACTCACATATACACAAGTAAACATGCTAAATTGAAGTGATTTTCAGCTTTAAGAGCATCATATTGTAGTCAAGCACGCTCCAATTAAAGATTTCTACTCTTAAACAACAAGATTTATTTTTATTTGAAGGTTTTTCTTATTAAAGTTCAATTTGGAGTGTTTTATTTTGTCTTGGAAGTCTCCTACAACAGTTTGATATGCATTCAAGGTCAAAAAACATTTTCATTTTCCCCAAATATATATTTCACATCTCCTCATTTCTCAAAGAGTCACAAACAATTTGTTTGAAGATTTGTTCTTTCGAAACCCTTCCTCTCTGTGAGCCTATTCTGCACTGTTCATATGGCCCAGTCTGTTTCTATTAGTCTACCACTTACAGCATTTGTTGGGAACTGAACGCAAGCCTACATTTCTGCAAAACAAAATATGTTGCTCAGAGTACATTTTGTTGCACATTTTAGATAGCAAATCTGGTAGAAGGTAGGCCTGTCACAATAATCAACCTATCAACTTATCACACAACACATGGACGTGACCTCAATCATTTTTGCTAATTCATTATATATCGACGATACATAAAAACCAATTCTAGCAACACTTTAGCTGATAGTGCAACATCTCTATCTCTATTGGAGGTGTCGGTGTCAGTATGGTTAAAAAAACATTATAGTGTTTACTATAAATTACTATAATATATTTTCATTAGCAGATATTGCAGCCTCTGTTACTTTTTACCTTGCACTTTTTGTTAACATGTATTATCATTTATTTAATTTAAATGAAATATTCTTAAGAATAAAATATTATTTAAAATAAATATAATAATATTATATTATTTGGCATAAAATGGTCTTAAAATGACAATAATATCATATATCGCAATGTATTTTGGTGCAATATATCATACAACAAGAAATAGATATTGTGACAGGCCTACTAGAGGGCACTGTCTGCGTTTACACAAATATTAAATGTTTTTTTTATTTTTTATGTTTTGTTGTAAGTTTTAGATACACATTCTTCTTGCACACGTCTGCAAGAAATCAGGAATTGTCATACAGCTCACCTAGACCAGTGAACCACTGACCTAAACCCTTTCCTAAACCCAACCAACAGTAGGGTTTTCACGATACTGGAATTGGGTAGCAATCAATGCTGAATAAAAAAAATAACAACAACGTGCATTTCCAGCTAACATTTAAGCACTGTTGAGCACGTTCTTAAACACCGCTGGTTTGCCATTGTGTTCACTTGCTCAACAGAAATGATTAAGATTGGCCGTGAAGGTCACCAGTTCACCAAACTCACAGCTGTTTACTGAGTGAAAACACAGATACAGGCACACTGAAGGGTTTTAAAGTGGCAATGCATCAGCGGATCGCTCGTATGTCAGCTTATAAACAAACCAGCTGATCGACATGGCTTTAAAACATTCCAGCTTCCCTGTATCTGTTTACACTCAGTAAATAGCGGTGAGTTTGGTGAACTGGTGACTTTCACGGCCAATCACAGTCATTTCTGTTGAGCATGTGAACCTAATGGCAAATCAGCGGTGTTTAAGAACGCACTCAACAGCGATCAAATGTTTGCGGGAAATGAATGTTTAAAAATTTCATTACTGATTGGTACAGAATTCCAGTATCGTACAATCCTAACCAACAGTGATTACAAAAGCAAACTTAAGAGGAAAATGCACAGCGACCCTGTAGTTTTACCTTGATTTTGCATTGCTTTTATCTCTTTTTATGGAATCGCACTTTACCAGCTTAAAGCCGAGTGCTCTGCATCACAAGTACAACACAATACAAAGTGAGCTGCTGGGGAAACTGACCACATAAGAAAAACTGTCCATATAGAGTCAAAGGTATTCGATTACAAATCCTAATGTCAACACACACTCTGTTTGTTGAAAGTTCAATTCAAATCATCTTTATTTGAACGCTTGTTAGGTCCAAGAGTTATATCAAACTGCATAAGGAGACTCAACAAATGGTAATAATAAACATTTAAAAAGTGCTGTAATACTGTTGAAAAATCACGATTGCTATATATTTATATTGATTTTTTTTTTTTTAAATTGGATGTCTGTGATCCAGCAAGTCCATAGACTGTTGTGTACACTACGATTTTATATATAATTCACTTCAATGTGTGATGTGACTAAAAAGTGGTCATAAATAAATATTTTCTCGATTGAAATGAATAGCGGCTTGGACCCGAAAACAGTGCTCCATACATTACGACTTAACAAGCGGATATCGTTTTTACAATGTAGATTGTGTCAAAGCAAAGTTCTAGCAAATTGAAAGAGTTGAAGTTCAGTTTAGACGGTCAATAAGGAGCATAGACCGGCACTTTGTGAATGTGTTACAGATGTGTATTAATTGTGAAAGTGAAATTCGAACTGCTGACGACTCGATTCAGATTTTCAGAATCGACAATTAGTTTTTGTGCGCTTCCATTTTGTACAGACTGCACGAATAGTTATATTTGAAATATTAACATTTTAACTGCTCTCTTAATCTCTTGTAAACAGGTATTTGTTAACAATTATTAACATGCACATACAGTATGTACATTTACATATAATCATAATATGCTACTTTTATTTGAATGTTGTTCATGTATGTTTCCACCTTAAAGTGACAGTGACTTTTGCATGCAGATTTGTTTCGATTGAAGTCTTCAGTTCGAGTACTGTCCATCTTATCATTTTGCACCTGCTTAAAAACTAATTAAAAATCAAAGCATTTTTACCACCCATTTCTGCTGCTATTTCCTGTCACTGACTGTGGGACTGAATGTCAGACTATTGATTTTCACTTTTGTAGGTGGCTTTGTAAAAACAGGGTGGCACATTGACTTTGATGACCATCTGAGGCTGTAAAACCCATTTGAACTATAAAGCAGGGTCAGACAACTGGACAAGTCAATGTGGCTCAGATTGGTACTGTATTTGGGAAAAATCAACACAGGCTCCTGAGAAATATGTAGCCATGGCACATTTTAGTAATAAATAAAAAAATACATTACTGATTGCACATATCACAACAGTGCTAATGAGTGTGTTAAATTTGATCAGAAAACAGTTTCACATGATTGCAGTTTATACTTTATGCTAAACAGTTAATGATTTATTCAGCTTAAAAATAATATAACATCTACACTAAACCAAACCAATATGCAATAATACTACATTTGGTGAAACAATCATGTCCTTTCACTTTGCTTTAAATGGCTTTGAGTTATTCT